CCCAATTATTGGATTATGTACTTACAATGGCCAGTGGAGTCTACGTTATGTTAATTATGCCTCAGCAAAGGTACTAAAATGGTTCTCCATGGACGGGAGCTTAAGGGTGATTTAGATAACAGGAAGAAGAGATATTACTTTGCATGTAGCATAGAAAGACCAAAAAAAAAAAAAAAAAAGGAAAAGGAAAATATGAAAGACAGACTAACAGGCATGAAGGATACATGAGAATTTAAGATGCATTAAATTGGAGTCCCAGAAGGAGAAGAGACATAAGATGGAGAAATACAATTTTTAAAAGACTGAGCAATTTTAAAGGACTGATGAAAGACACCAATCTATAAATTCAAGAAGTCCAAAGAATTCCAAATAACTAAAGAAAAATTCAAGTTTAGACATATCATAGTCTAAACTATGTCTGTATATCATAGACATAGTGAAACTGTAAAGACCAAAGACAAAGAGAAAATGTTAGAGGCAATAATGAAAACAAAAAGATCATATCTTCAGGAGAATTACAGTCTCAACAGACTTCTCAATAGCAAAAAGTGGAAACCCAAAGAAGGTAGAAACAAATGGGCTAAAATAAATGTGCTGATAAATATGACTGCCTGACTGCCATTCCTGAGTTCTTTATCTAGTGTGAATTTTTTTTTTTTTTAAGAATGAGGGTGAAATGACAATTTAGACATCAGAAAGTAAGGGGTTTGCCACCTGCAGATCTTCAATAAAATAAAGTTCCTTTTCTATATTTCAGTATCTCTGAAACTGCATTTATTCCATGTGCTGGACCTAAAATATCCAATGATTAAGTGCCATCCTTAACTTCAAGAGACTAAAAATCTAGCCAAGGGTTACCAGATTTAGTAAACAAGTTGACTTTGAGCTTCAAATGAACAGTCATTTTTTAGGATTTATATGTTCTAAATACTTATGGGTACATACTTATATTACATGTTGCAATTCAAATTTAACTGGGTCTCCTCTATTTTGTCTGGCAATTCTAGTCTATACAAAGGGAGAGATGTCAGAGCCAGAGACAGAATTGGAAATTGTAGGTTGGTGGGTGACAGCTACATCTCAGGGATTAGATGAGATTGACCAGAGACTGGAGAATGTATCAGCTAAACTAAGACAATTAAGGACCAAACACTGGAACTCCAACTTTTAAAGAGGTGCTGGAGGAAGACAAAGAGAAAGACCAGGGAATGCAGGCAAGACGGCAAGTTTCAAAGAGGAGTCCTTCAATGCATAAAGTTTCATTTATTCAACAATTGCGTGGTTGCTACAGACCAGGCTCTGTTCTAAACCCTGCTCTAGGTAACAGAATGATTAAGCAGAGTGCTCTGAAATCGGAACGTTAGAGATCATTCAAGAGTTTTTAGAGAGCCCATTTCAGTACTCCAGGGAGAACCGGGTCACCTGCAATCAAGACGGTTTTGAGATTTTTCTGTTCTGGGTTAAATTGTGTCTCTCCCCAGTTCCCATGTTGAAGTCATATCCATAACTTCCAGTACTTGAGAATATGACCTTACTGGAAATAAGATCTTGGGAGATGTAATTAGTTAAGTAAGTTGTACTGGAGTAGGTTGAATCCCTAATCCAATATGATTAGTGTCTTCATCAAAAGGGGGAATTTGGACAGACACACACACAGAGAGAGCATCAGGTGAAGTTGAAGACAGATATATACAACGAATGCCAAAGACTGCCAGCAAACCACCAGAAGCTCGGAGAGGCGTGGGGCAGATTCTCACAAGTGCTCAGAAAGAACCACCCCTGCCAACACCCCGATCTCAGACTTCCAGCCTCCAGAACTGTGAGACAATCAGTTTCCGTAAGGAAGCCAGCCAGTTTCAAACATTTTGTTATGGCAGCCCTAGCAAACCAATACACTTTCCTTCTTGAAGGTTCAAAGGTTGCCCAGCTGGTGCTTTCTGAAGCCTTGCTCCTCCCGAGACCTCTCCGATGGGGAATTTCTCATGCAGAGGCTGGTGCTGCTGACCTTGTCCGAGATCAAGTGTGGGGTGACACAGCCCTCCTGTGCTCAGCTTCTGCACCTCAATCCCAGAAACTGCTTGTCAATTTCAGCTCCTCTCCTTACTTCTGAATAAGAGCACTCCTGCCACTTTCTCTTCCTCTCTTCCCTTCCCCATCCACCAAGGCCTTCCTTGTCTTCTTGTTCCCACAAGCCCTCTGTATAGGCCTCAGTAAGGCTGTCCAAAGGAACGTTTCTAGTTCCCCTTTCCCTTCTCTCAAAAGTGCCATCCCCTCATGTGAAATTAAGCTAACTTCACTAGCTTCTGTTTTCTTCTATGTACTCTCTTATCGTGGGCCCATTTCCTCCCAAATCGCTCTCTCTCACTCCACACACTGATGGAATGTTTATTTATTTAAAAAGAAACACTCGAAGCACTGTGCTAGCAGCTTCGGGGGTGTCCGAGATGAACAACATCCGTACCTCAGGAAGATGGAAACTTGGTCATCATTTACGGGGGACAGGTTAAGTCTCTCTGCAGGCTTAACACCGATTGACTTATATCAGCTTGTTGTAGAAGACTGTGACTTCTAAGGCACCTGGGCTCAGCTGGACGGTGTGGTGGCACATGAGTTATGGCTCCATGGCCAGCATGGGAAGACCAGGTGTTTGCCATCTCTGAGGTACAAATCTGGACTCCAGTTCTGGTTTCACGTAGTGCTCCATGAACTTGGGCAAAGTGTAACTCTTGCAACCTCTTGGGCAATGTAACCTCTGAGTCTCTGGACAATTCAGTATTTGAACTGAGACCAGAAACCCTGGTGCACATGGGTATTTTATGTTAACCAATTTTAAGTCTAGACATAGTGGGAGTGGGGACAAGGCAAGAGCCAAAATCATTGTAAAAATAGATTGTAAGAGCCACAGAAGGAAGGAGTGTTGTGGGAGTTCAGTGACAACTTGCCATTGAGATGATTTTGCTGGTCCTGAAAGATGGGGTCTTGGTGGAGAGAAAAGACCGTATAGAGTCTGAGAATGGAAGCGGACAAGAACCTGGCGCAGACTCATGGGCCTTGGCGAGAGAAGTAGGAAGGCAGGATGGAGCAAGAAGAGAGAGCCTTGAATTCCCGGCCAAACACTGGAATTAAAAAAACCAACCAACAAACAGAAATCTTTGTAACAATGTCAAGTTTTGCAGCATACTTGTACAATACTGTTTGCACCTAAGAGAAAGACAATTAGAATCAAGTTTTTGACTGTACAAGTTTATATGGGTTGTGTCAGTATAGGAGCACCACCCTCCCTGCTTAATAAGGCATGAACAAGCTGGTCTCAACAGCTTCACATTACTCCATCCAGGTAGTCACTACTACCACAGGCTGAGATTTCAAGAGCGAATCTGCCTAATATCACACAGCCGTAAGTGGTAGAGACAGGGTGGCGCTGGGATTTGAACCGTTTGAGCCTGGGCACCAAGACCGGGTATTACTTTCCTATGAAAAGCTAGGCTGGTGAGGAAAATTAGCTAGACTCCCAAGACTGGGGCCCGTCAACTGCTTCTAACGCAAGATTTCTCACACATGACAAAGGCTAAATGACAGTGAAAACATTTGGAAAGAAAAGACTTCTTTGTTTTGTGGTCAATTAGCATTCATTTCTGTCTGTAATAAAATAATGGCAATCGCCTGACTGAAATGCAGGTCTGTTTTTCACTGATTATTGACGCGTTCCTGGCCACACAACTCCTTCTTGATTTTAAAAGGATTCCTTTTCATTACAGGTCACTTTTCACCCCTTCCCTTTCCTTTCAGGAGACATTTCTGCAGGTGTAGATGTCACATCAATAAAGGCAGTCATGACTGTGGGTGTGTGGGTGCCTAATTCATTCTTAATAGGATTATGTCATTCAGGGTGCTTCCTTTGTTGTAAGAAGGAAGAACTCTCAGCCTCTGTTTGGGTTCCAGTGGTCTGGACGCGCATGCAGGATCCATCCAGCTAATACGTATCAAGTACCTCCCTTCAAGCAGAAGTGGAACTTAACGGTTCCGGAAGCAAGTAATAAGGACTTCAGGTGGAGCAAGGATATGCCATTTTGAAATAACCTCTCTTCAAAACCCAAGCCAACAAGAATACAAGCCACTTTCTTGGGATTGCTGATGTCAACCTGGTCTATTATTTTACTGTTCATGTTAATTTTTAGACAGTCTCTTTTTGAAGGAAACATGGCAGTCAGATTAAGCCACATGAAATTGCTATTTTTTTCTGCCAAAAATGGCAGCAAATTCACACGAATACCAAAAATTCGGTTGATGTTAATGAATCAAGCTAATAATAATCATAGTTATGTGCAAAATGTTTAGAATGTTCTCTGTATCAGGAAAATATGGCACATATACACTATGGAATATTATGCAGCCATCAAAAACGACGAGTTCATGTCCTTTGTAGGGACATGGATGAACTTGGAAACCATCATTCTCAGCAAACTGACACGAGCAGAAAACCAAACACCGCATGTTCTCACTCATAGGCGGGTGTTGAACAATGAGAACACATGGACACAGGGAGGGGCGCACTACACACTGGGGTCTGTTGGGGAGAAATGGGGGAGGGACAGTGGGGGGTGGGGGGTTGGGGAGAGATAGCATGGGGAGAAATGCCAGATATAGGTGAAGGCGAGGAAGGCAGCAAATCACACTGCCATGTGTGTACATATGCAACAATCTTGCGTGTTCTTCACATGTATCCCAAAACCTAAATTGCAATAATAAAAAAAAAGAATGTTCTCTGTATCTATTTTTCAATTTAAATAGAGACCTCAGGTTGTAAGACTAAAATGAGAAAATATCGCACATATGAAAATTCTTCATCAGTATCTGTTGAATCAAGTATATAAATCCTAGTGTAATCTGATAGTCCTACACATATTTTATAAAACCTGAGTAAAAAACTTTGTCAGGACGAATGCACTTTAATACTTAAAAGTTTAATCTCACAAATCGCAACAATCAAATGACTCCACTTGCTTTATATATTTACATTTTATTAGAATTCTTCAGAACTGTCAACAGTTGGACAACATACAGGAATAAAACACGTGGAACACCAACATCCTTTAAACTTACACCGCTTACATTATTTACACATAAAGTTACTGTATATATAAAAAATATTTTCAAGGACTCATGGGCTTGGGCATATTCAAAAGACATTATTGCTACATTTCAATATTTACAAAAAAGCCACAAAATAATTTCAAACATTAAGCCACTGCAAAGAAACATCTGATGTAAAAAAAAAATTATAAAAATATAAACTTTCAAGAATATCCAAGACAAAACTCTCAATGAAGTGCCCCTGTAGTACCTAGACATCTAATAACTAACACCCACTTTTCTTGCTATAATTGAAGTCAATAGAAACACAAAGGAATTTTTCAGACAAAGTATGGCAAACAACAATCTCTTGGGTGACAACACAACCCCAAATCTGTTAACTTTGGAAAGGTGCGAAGAGTGTAGAACTCCAGTGCAAATGGTCACTTCCAGGTAACGGCCACAGTTCTCTAAATGTCATCTAAGGAACGCAGAAGGGGGAAACCGTGAAGGCAACCTTTGAAGACAACAAACAAACTTTGTCATGTACACATTTACCTTTTATATTGGGCAGTGAGGACGGAGAATTTTTTTTTTTTTAAAAGGCCAGCTATAAGAATAATATCCAGGCTACAGTCAAAGGGTACAATTTAAATGTTTCAGTGAGACAGTAGCATTATGGAAAGTTTAAGGAACAGATACAGTAGGAATGAGCCTAAATAACAGCGTGCCTTAAGTGCGGGTGGACTGCAAATACATAGGACTGATGCCTTCCACTTCCTCTGCACTGCTATGGAAGCTTCTGGTAAGCTACTCTAGATAGCTATGCAAAAAGAAACAAGAGCAGTACTAACGATGAAAGCCAAGTGACTTTTTGGGTACTAAAGGACCTTCTTGGACTCAGGGCAAGAATAGCCCTCCAAATATTTGTCTACACGCATACAAACGTACAAACACATACACACTTATATAGATACTGGCCTGGCGTCCAGGACATGTCTGTGAAGGAGGCTGAATCTAAACTCTTATTTCCTGCTACATAAGAATCCAAACTAAGACGGCAGTGTTTTCTCACTCCTGCGGGAGCCATGCAGTGAATCAGTAACTCTGTCAAACAGCATCAATTCCATTGAGTACAATGCCATTCTGAAGCTGATCGTCTTGTTCTGCAGAAGCTATAGCGTTAAGTTCATTAGCTAAAAGAGGAGACTTTGTTCAGACTGTGCTTGGTGGTTACACTGTTTCCTTAAAAAAATGGTATTAACTGTTTCCTTCAAATTTATATGGCTCTTAATCTACTTCTATACACAGTGGACATAATGGCAGGGTTGTATACGGACACGAAATCTTATGGTATTTTCCCCTCAAATGTATGAACACGGACAATTTATAGATGAGTATATACAGGTGCTGGCTGGGGAGGCCTTCTCTCCAATTCAACACTCTAACAGCAAACTCTATTTAAAAACCAGGTCAGTACAAAAGCTTGTGCAGTGGCCCACAGAAGAGCATCTTTTATTCACACTTGGGGATCATTTTTTATCATGGCCTACGTCTCATTCCCAGCATGAAATATTAGATTTCTTAAGCCCAGATGTTCCTACTCTGTCCTTTGTTTTCAGCTTCTAGGCTTGTTGCATCATCATACTACTATGGATGATTCTGAAGGCCAAATGTGATGACTACCATTTATTCAGGTAAGCTATCAATCATGTTTTCAAGCAGAATTGGAGGAGCCTTGGAAAGAATTCTGGGCACGCAGCCCATACTTCCCTCTCTTTTGTCCAAATCAGAATGTTTGCTGTTTATGGTAGGAGTTACGGTGCTATGGGGAATATATACAGTTCGAACCTTTGCAGTAGGATGGTGGCTGATGACAAAAATCATCGACCACTAAAGTGTGCTCAGAAAGACAGGACTGTGGTGGGGTACCCACTATCCCAGAGTTGGATGCAAGCTGAAAGAAAACAAAATAACCATCATGGAAGCCAAAACAACAGATCATTCCTGGAGGGGGTGACCCGAACTCTCATTCTGCTCAGACGTCATCGCGCACAAGCAGAGGCTGGGAGGAGGACGCAGTGCTGCCGACGGAATTGATCCGCACGGAATGGTCCACCACGGGCTTCTGCTGGCTGGGGCTGCAGTTTGTTAAGTTGGAGTAAATCTGGGGAAAACAAGTCCACAGTCAATACACCAGTCCCTGCAACGGACACAGCAGCAAAAGGCATCCTTACAGCGTCGAGGTCGCAACTGATGGATGGAAAGTCTTAGGAGAGAAGTGGTTTACAAGAACTTTGTGGCCAAAACCCAAGTCGTACTGACAAAACGAATACAAGCTCTGTTTTCTCATTCATTTTTCCCAAGGAAATAACTTTATACAAGTGGGGACAAAACATGTGCAAGCCCAGCTCTTCTGATGGGGCACACCAGGGAAAGCAAGCACAATCTAACCTATTTAAAAGGCTTATAAATCTCTAAAGCCAACTACAACCCAACAACCAGTGTAATTTGCTGAGAAACCCATGAAGCTTCAGAATCAAAGCAACTGGGTGGAAAATGCTGTTTAATTTGAAATACGCTTTGACACCCAGAAGAACAAGCTTTAGCCCAAAAATATCAGTGGTATGCTATTTAGAGGGGAAAAAAAAAAAAAAAAAAAAGATAGCTCCAAGCACATAGCCCAGAAAAGAAAGCAGCTTAAAAAAATCTGAGTCAAAGTATCACTAATTCTTCCGTAAAAGCAAGAGAGGAAATAATGGATTTGAGTTTTCATTCCCTCCACTTCCCAAATCACTGGGAGGGATCTCGCCACTTCAAACAGCTCTTCATTCTCTATGGTTTGTGGGCATGACAGCTATCTGCCATTTTCTGGCTATGCTTGTTTGATCAGAAGCCTTACTTCACTGCAGTAACAAGCTGTCTTTTCTACTCTTTTATTCTAGTTCCCATCACCCCAAACCTCCAAAGGATGAATGGCCCTGACATGTGAGAGGGAGAAAATACTGACCCCATGACCAGCACTTGAGACGGGGGAGGAAACACGGCAAATCCTTACGGAAACTTCTACTTCCACGCTTCTGAGGACAGAACTCTCCACCCTTCCCCCTCAATCTCACATCCTTCTTTGGCTCAGAACAGGGGGGATGGGCAGAAAGAACTGGTTTCCATGGCTTTACTTCCCCTACCTGAAGCCCAATTTACAACCTAAGATGAGGAGAGAAGGGGTTGGGAGGTTAGTCCTCACCCTGAAAGCCTGAGGAGGAGGATACCCCGGGAACTGGGAGAAGGGGGATTCTACGCCTGGCCAGGGTATACTCACATGATTGGTGCTCTCTGAAATCTGCTTCTCAATAAGCTGAACAATTTGCTTGAAGGTTGGCCTTTTTAGAGGATCTGCATCCCAGCAAGTCTTCATTATGTCATACCTACAAGACAAGGGCCGTTTACTATCCCTCCTCAACGCCCTCAGCCTGTTTTCAAATGCATGGCATCCAACAACTTCAGTAATCATTCCAGGGCTATGCAACTGGACATATGGACTGACATATGGATAAAATAAAACAACACTGCATGTATGAACTGCTGTTGAAACTTTCTGCATTTTTGGTGACAAAAGAGTATGAAGATAAACTACATAAATGACATTTGACCAGTGTGTCATAAGGGAAACAAGTGACATTTCAAACCCTCCACATCTGGATTTCTGTCTTTAAAAAGAAAAATAAAAGGAGAAATGTGATCTAAAGGAAAAACTTCTCGGCTCTTACATTTCAGCAGGGGCGTGTTCAGGGCTGAGCATCCGGAAGCCTTCCTTGATCATCTTGTAGAACTTAGAATCGACTGGCATTCCAGGATAGGGGCTGCTTCCTGAGACAGTTTGCAAATCAGTGTTAATCACAATGAAGCAGGTCACTAATGAAACCTCAAGAAGATGCTGTGAGTCTAATGCAGGTGTCTTTGGCAAAGATCATTTTACCTAAAGAGAACAGCTCCCAAAGAAAAATCCCATAGGACCAGACGTCACTTTCAAATGTGTAAACACAATTGAAGATGCTCTCAGGTGCCATCCACTTCACAGGTAATCGAGCCTGTAATAGAAGCACAACAGAGTCAACAATGTTAATTCAGAAGCTCGACAAAACTGAACAGAAGATATTCTTATAGATGCCGCTGTTGTTGAAAGATGAGGTGAGAAAGAACTTGAGTACCATTTCACAAAGACCTGTTATCTTTATGATCTCAGATGATCCCAAATACCTCTGAAATACATGGCTCACAACTGCATTATCCCCATTTTAAGCTGTGAACACTATGTCAGTACAGCATGGTGATTAAGAGCACAAACGTCAAAGATGACCAGACATTTTAGCCCTGGCTTCACTATGTGCCTTAGGTAATGCAGAGATTTGTTAGTTGCCACTGAATATGTCCCTCTCCTTCCTTAAAAACAGAAACATAGCCTCTCACAATTAGGACCACATTTCCCAGCCTCCTTTGCAGCCAGTTGTAGTCAGGTGACTCGGTTTTAGCCACTAAGCTGTTAAGTGCTGTATACCAACTTCAGGAAAACCTCCTTACAATACAGCTGGCATATGCCCCCTGCCTCATGTATGTGATGGCTGGTTATCTACCTGGTGGTCATCTTGGACCATGAACGTGGGGTTACACCCAGGAATGGTTAAGCATGCAAAGGAAAGACTTAGCCTGGAGTACTCCATGGAACGTTTATACCAATCCTGGCCTGCTACTCCTAGACTTCTTTTATTTTGGGTTTTCTTTTAAAACCCAAAATTCTAATACACAGGGAAAGTCACTAAAATATTTGTAAGTAAGCCTCAGTATCTTCTTCTGTAAAACAAAATACATACTTTTAATTTTACGAATTGTCCTATGGGTTAAATAAGGTAATGTGGGTAAAAATGCTTAGCACTGCCTAACTCAGCGCTATCTGAAAAATTGCCTAGAATAAAGGCAAGTACTCAATAGACAGTAGTGGCTTGTGATGATCGTGACTCTTTGGAGAACTCTCTCCATGAAAGTTGACCTAAATTTTCTGTAACTATTCCTCTTGGATGGATTCTGGATTCCTGATCTTAATCTGCCATAAAAAGCTAAATCAACCCCTCTCTGAATAAACTTAGGATTGAAAACTGGGAAAGCTTTTCGTTTTTTTTTCTTAAAGTTATTTTGGTCAGTTAAAAAAAAGCCTTCCCTTCCTATATGTTGTGCTAAATCCTATAAGGGCTCTTAACCTAAGATCTACAGGTGTCAAATTCAGGGGCTTGTGAACTTGCAAAGGAAAAATTACATCCTTACTTTCACTAATTTCTAGATGAAGTTTAGCATTTCTTTAAATTACTAAGGAAGATGATAAGCCGCAGTAGTATCAGCAGTACCTGTGACTTTGTCATGAACGGTAATCATAAATACCTTCATATCCTATTAAGTCTTTATATGTATCTCAAAATCCTATTTAATCACCACTCTAAAATTAGTGGTTTTCAGGAAAAAAATAGCAAAACTCACAACTGCTTTTACACCAACCTGATAGAACCTGTTACTCTCTGTAGTAAACACATGTAGTGACATATCACAAATGTACTTAATATCCTGATAGCTACTTCGATTTAACTGTTTTCCTTGGCAATCCTATGTATTTCATCACAGGCATTGAAAACAGTGTTGTGATAATGATTCCACATGCTCTACCAGACTCTAAAAAGGGGCCGTGACATGAAAAACTGATGAAGAACTCATGTGAAAGGAAGAACTTTAGAGAACCTGACACAACAAGGAGATCCCAAATGATGACGACATACAGGCTGGGCAGTAACAGGTGTGAGTTTCCTTGTTCTTATCTTGTTTCAGAAATTCTCCTTACCCACCAGCCTGGTGAAAGCAATGCCTGTGATTGGTTAGTTCCATTGTAGACTCCTTGAGCTGGAGTCTACAATCTGGAAGCCTGATGGGGCCCAACCCCTTTGTCAAATCAAACTAAGGTCACTACTAACCAATAACAACACAGTATATGATTATTTATAAGACATCCATAAAGAATAGTAACAGTATGTCTGGCACGTTCTAAGCACTTTACATCTATTAATTCCTTTAATCCTCAAAATAACCTTCTGAGTCAGGAATCATTATTATTCCCAAGGGGAGAAAAGCCAAGATTCAGAGGTGTTGGGTAAGTCTTGACAATATTATACAGCCATGAAATAATGGAGGCAGGTTGCAGAATTCATCAAGACTGCGCCTGGAGGTTGTCACCTTCTTTCTCCTCCCTTTGGTCAATATTCAGAGGCCTAGATAATGAACAACTTGTCATTATTCCTTCCAAAATCACACAAGGATGAAGAGAAGTTGTTCTTATGATCACTCCTGATGATGACATCTAGCTTCAGGGCAGACTTCTCAGAAATTAATGCTTTGGTCAGGAGATAAACGCAGCCACACTTTTATAAAACCAAGTCAAGTTCAGGCTACCGGTAGAGAGGCCATAGTGATGAGAGAGAAAACAGTCCATTATCATAAGGGGCACAAAAATCCACCTCCAGGAATAAATCTGGACTGTGGAAATGGGCCCAGGAAGACAGGCATAGAAGAATATACAGAGCAATATGGTTTTCTATGGTGATGGGATGCCACTCTGGAAATCACAGGCTCTGGGTCCCGCCCTGTGTCACCTCAGACAAAAAGCATGAAAATATACTATGCCTTAGTTTCTCCAACTTTTAAAATAGAAAGATACTGCAATTGTAGGGCAAGAGTTTGTTCTGAGGATTCAGTAAAAATTGGCAATGAAATACAGCACTTTGAAAAACATTTGCTATGTTCTACAAACTCATTATTACTTGTGAACCTCTTTAACAGCTCTCCATAAATCCTAGGATCCAACATTCTATATGGCTAATTCTGAACATGATCTTAGATTTTAATCTTTTTCACACAGCATGTCAATCCCCCAAAATTTCTCCTGCTGTGACCTTCAATGACCTACATTTGTTACAGTTGAACAAAATCAAGTTCATTGCTATTCTCAGGCTGTAATGAAAATTAAGGCTATTTCTGTTTCCTTCACGTGCCCCATAATTACACAATTAGAATTAGGAATTCCATTATTGAATGTTAGTTGTAGTAATGTTCAGCATACCATGCAAATTTTGCTGAAGTACACTTAATTTGACTGCTAAAATGTGTGATATCTCAAGACAGGATTTACATTATAAAAATCACAGGTCACAATTTTTATCGAAAGTTGAAACTAAAACTCCTTTGCAGGACTGTCAAGCTGAGAATGGGTACTCACGTTTCCTTTAACCACATAATTAGAATCATTCTTGATGTCTCTGGCTAGACCAAAATCACAAATCTTTGTGATTCGACCATGAGTAAGGAGGATATTTCTGGCTGCCAAGTCTCTGTGAATACACTATTCGGTTGGGGAAGAAAAAAAAACCATTTAAATTCATTTAAACTTGCAAAGAGTGAAAACTAACTTTTTAATATTCGAGTGTTATTTATATTGTAATAAATCCAATACTTTTAAAGTATTCAGTACACCAAAAATGAAAATCAAAAGTATACCTTGAATGATGTTCACATAATCAAGAGTCTAATTACTATATTCTCTTTCAAAAGCCATTCTAATAAATGCTATTTTCTTCTCAGGACTTTTATTCATAGGAAAATATATAAGAAATAGTCATATCATACTGTTGAAACTGGAAATTCATTTTGCACGTATCTCTTTGAATGTCCTTTCACCAGAGTTCCTAACATGCTTTTGCAACTTCAATCTGACATCTTCCAAGGACACACGGAAGAAGGTCTTTATTTCAGCCATCCTGTATCCTTCCTTAGTTTGGTAATTGTTGGGAAATGTCACCCATGACATTTAAGGGTAGAACTGGTAACCTCATTCTATTCGATTAATCTTATGTCCTAAGGAATTCCTCTCACCTTCCACAGACCATGCTCCTTGTCTTAGTTCCATCATTCTCTTTCCATTCCTATCCTTCTCCCAAGTGTTTATTATACTCTCTTGACCCCTTATTTCTCGACACTTCATAAGCCATGCATGTAATACTTCGGTCTAACTTCAATAAAACTCAAGTCTATGCTTCACCTCAAGCCTTGTAACTATGAGGTGCCCTCTGCTTTTACTGATAAAACGACTCTGTTCTCTAGGAACATATCCTATATCCTAAAAGCCAGAAGTTTTAAATGAATTCACTGCATATAAGAGAATATTCATAGGAAACTCATTTACACAGGCTTGCACTTTAAAGCTTATAAATCAGAACAGGAATTCCAAAGAGACAGCAGTTGGAACATGAAGAAACTAAATTTCCTCTGCTTTTGGTTACAACATTTCAAAATGACACTCTGCCTTCTAAGTATGGCTCTAAAATTCTGTTTAAAAAACAAAACAAAACACAAAACTCTTTTGAGAATCACTCCCACTTACATTCTTAGAGGCGAGGAAAGCCATGCCCTTTGCCACCTGGTAAGAAAAGCTCAGCAAGTCTTCTAAGTCTAGGGCCAACTCGTCATCCTCCATAATGGCAGGAGTCACATCTCTTTCTATGTATGAGCCTGTGAGGAACGGAGGGTTTTTCTTAGCAATTAAAACCATAAAGGTTAGGAAAGGAAAAGACAGTGGCAATGACAATACCAAAGGCTAGTAATGAATGAACTCATGTGAACTTGCAGGCAGATCACCTCCCTGGTGTCCAGGAAAGGTAGATGCTGAATCACAAAGTTAATATTTAACAATCCTAGGCTGGGTTACAAAATCTGTAGAAGAGAGGGATGGCGAATACATACAAAGATCCCAAGTCTATAGTAAGATGTTCAGGCACTAAAACATATACTCTAACCCCAAACACCCACTTGCAACCCTATCTGCCATCAACCACTGGCATGGCTACCATAAAGCAGAACTGGTCTGCACCACTGCTACTGGGAATGACGTTGTCTTCCACGTTAGCATGATATATACTCTGTAAATAAAGTTGCTCTTGTTGCTTGATAGGTGGGTACCCACCTACTCTTGCAGATCTCCTTTTCTCGGCCTTGGTTGGGACAACGTAAGAAACTCCAGGTTTCATGTCCATGTATTCATTAGTACTATCGCTGCTGAGAGAGATGAAACAAATCATGACTGAATCAAGTGGGACGTGTAGAAGGGCACTCATGGGTCAGGCTCTCCCTCCTCATCCCCTTTGCTACATAATAGACTGGACTGACTTGAGGAAAGTAAAATATGAACGAAGAGTTTGAAAATCTTATTCTGTAAGATACGAGTTTTTAATATTCAATATTGGGGTCCATGTCCAGAAATTAGGTGTCCTTTTTGTGTTTAATCATAAAGGGGACTCAGGCTAGAAATTTCCCATCTCTTGACATATGGATTTAATGGGAAACAAAAACGGTATCCTCAAACTCTCTAAATGAGCCCCAGGAAACAAGATGAAAGAAAGACAAAGAAGAGCTTCTAAGACGTGTTATGGGGAGGCAGAGATCGTTAACATATAGTGACTGATGGAATAAAGTTTTAAAAAAAAAATCAAGTTGGTTCAGATAAACACCAATAATTTGGATGATTTTCTGAACCATCTGGACCTCTTCAATCTGCAACATTTGGCTGGAGACTCTTCAAGATTTCTAGTACTTCCTGCTTCTGATTAGCATAGAAACACCATGACAACAATCTCCTTCAGAGTGTGCTGGTGGTTCCAATCCCATATGGGATCCCAAAGCACAAAGAACATCACACAGGATCGAACAATTTAGGCCATTATTTCAGAAAGTTAAAGAATATACATAGGGCCAAGTTTTCGGAAAGAAGCAAACTGGCTCATTTCTTCATATAATGAGCATATGCCCAGGAGAAACTAATAAAAGGCGGTTTTGTACAGAATTCTACTACCACTTTAAACTACTCAAGTTTATAGGATTAAAAAAATAAAAAGTTTCACCTGGGGTTTTAAACTTTAGCCAGAGGTACAGAAAATGGCTCTAAAAGGTAATTGCCCATCAATATTATTTACTGAGGTCTCCTTGAGGGCCTGGTGTTAAGAGTTCAGGAGGCAACGTCTTGCCATCATAAGATGCAGGGGATATAGTGCATAAAAAAGGGTAAGAGAAATCTCCCCCCCACCAACTGCAGTATAGGGGATTGGCCAAGATAACCATGACTTCTACTGGGCAAAGGAAATCTAGGAAGTCTTCTCAAATGGTGGCTCTTAACAGCACTGCCAAAGAAAGAACAGGCAAGGTTCTTTTCTGGTTGTAAATCAAACTCGAAGCTCTTTATAGATGATTCAAATTCAGAATGGCAACTATGATGAAAGAGATGAGAATGGTGTCCAGAATTTTTTTAAATGTGCTGGAGTGGTTATGTCTTTTCATAGCATGATTAATTAAAAGGGGCAAGAGGCAAGGTATATAGGAATAATTCAGAGGTCGATGGCAAAAAGCCTACATGTAGAGAGATGTTCAGAGCTCTTTGTCATTCTGCTAAAGGTTTTAAAGGACTTTACGGTGGCAACTTGAGAGGCTGTAGCATTTTCCCTGTAAACAGTGTCTCACTGGAAACATGCATATAGTACCAATACATGCAGGACAGAACCGTAAGAAACAGAAATAGAATTCATTCAGTTGCATGGAGCTAAAGTGTAGAAAAAAGTAAAAATGCATTTTTAAAAAATCAGCAAAAATCCAGGTTTAACACAGTTTGAATCTTTAAAAACACGATTTGAACTTTCTAAACTGTTAATCACATTTAAATGATTTAATAATTTTGATTTCATACCTCAGAGTACCTCAGTTCATTTTTTAAAGAATCAGCCTTGATTGCAAACCCTTATGACCCCATGAACTGCCTGTCAACAACTATTTATGTAAATCAGTCTTACCAGGAAGACTCCTTTGAATGTAGAAGATTCTTATAAAGTGCAGCTTCTGCATGATCTTCTTGCTTTGAGCAAATAAATGAATCACGTTTTCTTCTCAAAAAATTCAAAAGATCACCATAGCAACAATATTCTGTAATGACCAGGGTGGGCCCTACGAGCACATAAGAAAAGGTTAGAAGGAGGTGAGATATGTATATTAATTCTGCCTCCCATAAAAATACCCAAGGGTGGCCATGGCCATTAATATTCAGCTTCAGTGGATAAGCCTACTTAGTCCCAATACAATTCTATATATTAACACTGCTTATCAAAAGCAGCATTATGTGGAGTAACATAAAACAAGCAAGCCTCTTTTAACCTGAATTTCTAAGTGACATTAGTATTTGGGGCCAAGCATGACTGCTGGTGTTACAGACAGAAGTTACCGCTTTCGAAGGTTCTACTATCATCAAGCTTCCTTCGTGAATCCTTTGATTCACTTCTCTTTACAGCAGGGCTTCACGTGCTCTCTGTAACGTTATTATGGAAATAATGAAGGCACAAACTCTAGCATAGTAGGGACATCAGCCACATGGAGCAGCCAGCTGGGATGAGACCGGAAAGGGAGTGAAAGTCTAAAATGACCTGTGCTCTGAGCACTACTAGTTCAAACATTTTTTTGGTGTTATGAACGTTTAAAACTGCAGTTTGGAAGTAACAGGCAACTAATTAACTTGAGTAAGAAATTTCCTCATGAACAATTCATGATGCGGTGAAGCAACATTTACAGGGGTTGTTTGAAGACATTCCATAAAGCTGTCAACTTCACCGTGCACCCCCAGAAACAGCTCATTTTACACATCTTTGTTTCTTTCAACCGAAATACTTTCTGCAAACATCACAGACATCCTTGATGGGAACCTCAACGAAGGCTTCAAATTGGAAACTTATTTTTATAGAAGTGAAATGTTTGCCTCACTTGGTGTATATTTGAGAACTAGTAGGCTTAGGCGCCTATGTTAAATTACAGTATGCAAATGAATATTAACCCTTTCAGTGCTACATATGATCAAGAAAGATACAAAGCTTACAAGATAAGAGAAGCCTTCTGGTCAGGATGAGCTATTCAAGAAGCCAATGTTGTTGATGTTACAAACACGACAGTAACTAGTGTATGTCCTGGGCCGTTCTACCCCATAATAATAAAATTAAAATCTGCATTCTTAAGAACAGTAAGGAAAACAAAATCTGGCAAGAGAGAACAATAGTCTGGGTAAAAGTCTTCCAGCAATTTGTAATCCAGCATTGTCAAAATCATATTAAAATGTCATCTTTGGATAACTTAACGAGAAAAGGCAATTTGGACATGGCTTTACCTCCAATGGTGCAGGCTCCAAGAAGATTCACAATATTCATATGATTACCAAGGTAACTCAGGACTTTGAGTTCAGACATGAGGGCTTCCCGTTCCGTTAAATGCGCACTTGCTAAAATTGGAAACGTGGATTTTAGCAAAAAGCACATTTGGCAAACTCACATCGAGTGCATGCAGTACCATACAGGAACTTACGTTTGAGCATCTTTACAGCGACAGTCATGGCCGTGTCCGACTTAATTAAGCCATAAGCAGTCGCCTCGACAACCTTCCCGAAAGCACCAGCACCCAGGGTTTTCCCTGCAGGAAGGAAGACAACAGGGTAAGTGGTGGCGGTGCTGGTGCTTTAACTGAAGGACCATTTGTGTAGTTTCAAAATCAGTTAAGGAATTAAGGACAATTTTGTCTAGAGACATTTCCCCATACTGTTCTCCATGCCAAACCCATCAGAGGGGGTGCAATTTCACAGAAAACTCATTGTTTCAGGTAGAACAAAACAAATGAAGCCACTGGAGTTCCTTAAAGTCACTGTTACATGTACCCAAAAAGGTGACATGGAAAACCCCTGTTTCATACTGACCAAAACTCAGCCTGTTTCTGGGAAACTCCCATTTGTGATCATAAGGAAGTTGTGTCGGGTCTATGTAAACATAATTATTTCCATTTATCTCCTCAACAACCTTCCACTGTACTTCATACATGGGTTTCTGTGGGGAGAAAGGCAAAGACAGATCACCTTTTAGTAATTATTGTCTCAGTCATTAGAGCACTCTGCAGAGAGAACAAAGAAATGGTTACCTGTAAATATTTGTAGGTCAGGATCATCACAATAATGCACATCATGCCAGCTACGATTACGAAACCAATCAGCAGAGGAGTGAACAGGGTGTGGGGTTGGATTTGCTCTAAAATGAGAGAAATGTGGAATCACCAACTATTGGCAGGATGGGATCTCTGCCACAGCCATGCACTCCCAAATCGACCCACCTCCCCGCTCACAGTCCATGGCAAGATACAAAGCTGTGTGAGTCTCAGAGCCCCACCTTTGTTATATTGTACTCTTGTTATTCAAATGAATCTTTAAAAATATAACTTGAAACCAGAATACTGCAGAATATAAGTTGAGATTTCCATAGAACAGGAATAATTTATGCTGTTTTTCAATGAAAAGCAGCATCTGAATGCACTTTGTACTTCAATCAAATTCCTGCCTTGTACAACTTTAAAAAGAAGCTTCCTTTATAGATGGTTTATATTTTCTTTACGCTTTCCTGTATTTTCCATATTTTCTACACTGAGCATAAACATCTTTCACAACCACAAAAAAAAAACATTTTTAAGGTATTCTTTTCATTGCCCTGTCTGAAAAATCGATCATGTAGAACAATGGAAGATTCTTCCCTTCATTACTCAAAACCTGAGAAAATATGCCACTTTTTGGCACTGGTCTTTGCCAACTCAAAAAAACAAAACCCCAAGAAGGTCTAAAAGGTAAGGGCCCAGTTTCTTTGTTTCTCACTTTGTACCAATTCATCAACTTGTCCACAAGGCTCATTTAACTTATGCCAAGAGAGTTAGTCACACATGAATCAAATTTTAAGTATTTTAAAGAAATAACTTGCTAACATGACCTCATAAAGGCAGTGTTAACTTTTGAATACAGTGTCTGGCAAAGTATTAAAATAATTCATTTTAAGTAACTGAAATTAAATTATAGATTGTTCTAATTTGTTTGGGTGTAAGGTAAATATATTCTCCCTATTTGCTTTCTCTACCCCTTTTTAATGGAGACAACTGAAATTTACAACTATATAATAGAGACAAACATATAACATATATAAAGTAGCATGGTTAAAATTACTCTGGTAAAAGCATACGCTTTATTCACAAACTAGTGCAAAATGAAACGTAGTGAGTTTGATGATGGTATGGTGTGATGTACGTATTACCAGACATGACATGGTCAATGTTGGAATGAACTTAAAATCATGACTGATATGGTGGACAGAGCCTAAACATCCCCTTAAATTGGATTAAAAAGAAATATACCTTTGTTGTTACCTTTAAATGCAAAGTTAAAATAGGCAGAAGTCTTGCCCACATCGTTGTAAGCCTTACATTCAACCGTGCCATTGTGCTTGAATGCACTAGAATCTATGGAGCTCTGAACCACTAGTTTTCCAAACGGTGGCCCAGATGTGTTTTGTATCTGCACATCCACTGGCAGTACAGGAGCAGAGCATCTAAAGGGAAAAAAACAAAAGCCCAGGCTTACTCTAGGAAAACCAATAAATACATAAAACCCTTGGGATGTGGCATACTTTTAAAACAAAGTTAGAGGTTCATAATCAACAGAAAACGTCCTTTTACAAGTGTCTGATGAGGAATAAGCACTTTGGTGACCTAGTGAGTGAAAAAAAAGGACCGTGGAAGAGAAGAAGGGGGAGAGGAAGCTTTGGAGTCAGATATGGGTTTGAATCCTGACGAGTTGCTTCAACCCCCACCAAGACTGAGTTTCTAGAACTGTAAAATGGGGATGGTAATACCCATTGCAAAGGGTTACTGAAAGGACTGGAAAGGAATTCAATAAAATGTCAAGCATACATGCTGGTACACAGTAGATCCCTAAAATAAACAAGTTTGGAAAGGGTACATGAATGGTTGAAAAGAAATGGCATAGAGGAGGAAAGCATAAAAAATCTTCACGGGGCCAGGAATGGCAGCTCACACCTGTAATCCCAGCACTTCAGGACGCCAAGGCAGGCGGATCACCTGAAGTCAGGAGTTCAAGACCAGCCTGGCCAACATGGCAAAACCCCATCTCTACTAAAAAAAAAAAGTTAGCCGGGCATGGTGGCAGGCATGTAATCCTAGCTACTCGGGAGGCTGAGGCAGGGGAATCACTTGAACCCAGGAGGCAGAGGTTGCGATGAGCCAAGATCACTCCATTGCACTCCAGCCTGGGCAACAGAGCAAAACTCCTTATCAAAAAAAAAAAAAAAGAAAGAAAGAAAAAATTCAAGGAGGCAAACTGGGAAATAGTCAAAGTGAGGACCAAATTTTGAGTTCTAAGCAGGAAGACCTGGTTATACTTCAGGTGGCTGAGACCACCACTATGAGGGATCCTTTCCATGAGCCAGACCCTGACTTTCCTGTTCTAAACACCTACCTATTCCCTGTTCCCCTTAACAACTACCTACATTCATTGTTTATTCCATCTATTATGTGTCTCTACCCACCAGAACAAGCTTTTCCAACCTGCAGCCTGCATGTGGCCCAGGATAGCTTTGAATGTGACCCAACACAAATTCATAAACCTTAAAACCTTATGAGATTTTTTTCTTTTTTTTTTTAAGCTCATCGGCTATTATTAGTGTTACTGCCTTTTATGTGTGGCCTAAGACAGTCGTCTTCTTCTGATGTGGCCCACGGAAGCCAAAAGATTGGACTAGAATATAAAGGCAGAGAGACTCGGGTACGTTCTATCCATTAGAACAGTGTCTGATACCCACTCACCACTCCCCGTATAACTGCTAAATGAACGCATGTAACTACGGGGCTTGCTTCCACTGTGGCCGCTCTTCCCAGCGGCCTTGAAAAGAAAAGGAGTCCCCAAAAGAAAACACTCTCCTAAAACCCAGCTGAAAACAGCAATCCGATATAACCCCTTCCAACTTGTTGTGATAAAGAGGCTTATTCCATGAAAAATAAAATTTCCATGATCACACTGACTATTCAATTATGAGGTTAAACCTGGGCTTTTAAAGCCTGAACATAAAATAGCAACTGATGCGTAAAAACAGCTGTGGTGACCCCATTTTCGTCTTCAGGTAATGCAGAAGGACAACTTAAGGCTTAAGTGTGGATGGTGAGGGGCAAGCAGCACCATGCCAGATGTTCACTGTTCACGGGCTGGGCACCTAATCAAGAAGAAACCCTTTTTAAAAGCGGTCGCTTGCAAATGCCATATGTATGTTGTAATTGTGCGATCATTACTTTTTGGTAACTTGGCAATTAACTATTGAGGTAATTTTTTCATGATAACTACAGTCACATTTCTCACACACATTACCTCCTGTGTATAGAATGGAAATCTAATTACTCTGTCCTGCAAAATTGCTTTATCTACCTGCAGGCTAGAAATTGCATGATAAATCCAGAAAGATAACCACCAAAATAGAGAAGTCATTCAGTAATCATTTTTCAGCAAACAAAATTAATGTCTACCAAGAAAAATATAGCAATTATCCTCTCTAAAAAGCCACATGGCTAGAAAAAAAGAAAAAACAAAACAAACCAATAATCAAAACAAAGCTTTATAAAAAAAAATCAGAAAACCTATTTGAAATTCAACTGAATTGCAGCCCTTCCCCTCTGCATTATAAGTAGTGCCAAAAATAATCATCTCACCTCTGCTCAGTTCCTGGACAAAAATACCAATCTATTGTGGGCTCTGGGAATCCTGCTGCCACACATTGGAGCATGCCATTCATGAGCCTGTCGTAAGTCAGGATTTCTGGTTTTGCTGCAGGAAAACAGAAGTGGCCATATGTCAGAGTGCTGAAAAACCTTAGCAACATTCACTTCACTCCCTCTCTAATCCTTACAACCTTCCTGAGGCTGCTGAGGAGCCTGAGGGTGCACATTCAAAGTGCAGACTCTGAACCAGGGAGTGTAGAAGATTCAAGGAGGCGGCTGTCAGGGTCCAACCCAGAAAAGGTTTCCCAGCAGCAGCAGCCCAGCCCCAGAGGAGATGGCTCAGGCAGAGGTCGCAGGGCCACCTGCAGGGTTTCTGCTTTCAGGGAGTGGGGATCTGAGAGACTGCTTCTAATCAAGACTCCAGGACTTGAAAGTGTTCTATATGGAAAAGTCACTTTAAAGGATTCCTGCGAATGGGATTTCAAGTGACTGTACCTGCCCTAGGAATTTCAAGTTATTGTGGGAACTAGAATGGATGAAATTAGGAGTTGTTAGAGGAAAAGATAAGCCCTGCTCTCCTGCTCTTTCAGGAATTGTCTCCTTTGAGGAGGGAGGGAGAAGGGTGGTGCTGGTTAGAAGCTGAATCACTCTATTTACAGGGAAGCTAGCACATAAAGAATAAAATACAATATGGGCTTTACGCCAAATCTTTCAAATGCAAAATATGAACAGAAAACCAGAAGAGAAAACCAGCGTGAGATTTATATATCTGTATATATGAATCTGAATATATAAATACGTCTATGAATCTGAATATATTCACTGTAACAGCAGAAATGTTCTAATTTGGTATTTCTGGGTAACTACAATAACCAGCTGATACTCAAGAATTTCTAATTTTTGAAGTTACTTACAAAGTGAAAGGAAGATGCATTTATACTCAGTGGTTCTGATGGCAATACATCTGAAGGATTCTAACCCTTTGAGAATAAGTAAGCCCAACAGAAGCATCAGGGTGGCAGAGATGGTGACAGACTCACCCTGTACTTGGAAGTAGAGCATTGATTACGCCAAGACTAAGCACAGAATTACAGGAGCCCCATGAATAGTGGACAGATCCGAATACCAGCTCTTAAATTTCTCAGTTATTTGACCCTAAATTTCTGTATCTCTCTCTAAATTTTTCTTTCCACATGTATAAATGGGAATAACTGTGCCCATCTCATAGGGATGTTGAGACAATTAAATGAGATGGAGCATACAGAGAGCTAAGAATGATTTATAGAAATGAAACAATTTATTATCATTATTGCTGCGCGGTGGCTCATATGTATAATCCCAGCATTTTGGGAGGCAGAGGCAGTGGATTACCTGACGTCAGGAGTTTCAGACTAGCCTGGGCAACATGGTTAAACCCCATCTCTAAAAACACAAAAATTAGCCAGGCATGGTGGCATGTGCCTATAGTCCTAGCTACTCTGTAGGCTGAGACAGGAGGATCACTTGAACCTGGGAGGCAGAGGTTGCAGCGAGCAGAGATTACACCACTGCACTCCAGCCTGGGTGACACAGTAGGACTCCATCTCAAAAAATATTATTGTTAATTATTATTACTGAGTTATTCTTTTACAATCAGAATATCTACCTTTCTTGGGTAATCAATTTCACTAGAAATAAAGTGAGCTGTATTTGCCACTCTAAATAGTCTAAAAATTGCTTCTTTAAAATAGTCTGATAATGTGTATATTTTAACCCAATGTACAGGGAATTCAACATCAATTATGTTCCAACTGATAGGGAAAATATATGCAGTGAGAAGGAAAGACTGACAGATCAGAAGCTCAGGAAGTTTATTTCCCCAAAGGAAGGTAACACTGATAAATGACATCTTTGTAGAACAACCTCTCAGCACCTCACCTCCCCGGAGGCAAACGAGCTGGCAGAGATCGGAGTATCCACATGCATGACACACCCACCTGTCACTCAACCTGGCCCTGCTGATGAGCAGACCATTTGGCTAATGCAAACAAAAGAGCAACTCTCCAAAACGATCTCAAGGTAGGGGTATCCTTGAGAGTTTGGATCCAATGCCAGCTTTCACAAATAGAGCAAGAAGGCAAGCCATCGTCTTGCAAAAGCATCCATCTGGCAAGTTTCATTTAATTATCATAGGCAACTGTGTGATCGGGCTGAAAAGTAGGACACAACATAAAAAATCAGCGGAACCTTGGGAGAATGCTATTTGCTGGAGACTCTAGGTGTCATACTGTGGGTCCCTGGACTCAGTTTAAGTGTCACTTCCTTTTCTAAGCAAGCCTCAACTCTGATGCCAAGTAGGTTGGTCTCTCTTCTTTCCTTATTCACAAAGGATTTAAGAACACCTGATGCTGGTAGGCAAGATCTTGGTCTGCTTCCTTTATCACACTCAACGTTCTCAAGGGCAGGAATCACATCTTAGTGTTGACTATACCTGTGACTCCTAGCTCAGTGTGACCCACAGCAAGGCTGAATGATGAAGACCCCACCCAAAGAAACAAGTCTCTAAGATTCCAAAGGCATTCAATTATAGAGTCACAAGAAGAGACCTGTGAGAACAGCCTAAAGATGACTTTCATAAATAGGGCACTATTTCTATTATTTTTGCAAAAGAGAGCCATGAGATAAGAAATCCAAGTGCCTGATTACAAGAATGTTTTATAACATTGAGATGAATGATGAGTGGGACTAGTCCACACAAAGCTGGCAGAGATAACTGAATAGGACTCAAAAAGGAGCTAAGTTCATAACATAGATGTCCTCATACCTACATTCCCTTCACACGCATACTTCCTAATGCTCATAATGCTACATGGGAAATTCTTAGTGGAATTAAATATTAACTCAGTAGTGGGGGAAAAAGGCTGAAAGGACACCTTAAGATGATGTGAACAATGTTTATCTCTGGGCAGTAGGGTTATGAAAAGTTTCTATTTTATTCTTTTAGTTTTAATTTTGTTTTGCAATGAACAGGTAGTGAACCTATAAAACATTTTTAATTAAAAAATTGGAACAGCTCAAAATTACATAATCAATTCCATTTAGCTTTGGTTACAAGTGTGCTCTAACATCCAAGCCTTCTAGCGTGACACCTGGTAGCCGTTATACAACAGCCATGGCTGGCAGCGGTGTGGTCTGGCTGGCCTACTTGTTCCCGTGTGCCGGTTAATTAAGCACTTTTGTTAAGCTCCTATCCCAGGTGGGTCATAACCTGAGGCTAATTGAGCAGCTTCTGTCCTGTTGGCCTTAGGTTGGCCAACCAAGCTCACAGGGCCTACATCTTCAATATGCCTCAGACCCACTAAGGGAAGAGGTTAAATGCACATTCCTGGGCCCCACCTCCAGAGTTCTAGTGAACTGAGGATATGACCCAGCGATGTACTTTTTTAAAAGGGCCTTTAAGGAACCCTGATCAGGGCCAGGACTAGAATGAGGCAAGAGAAGCACCCAGGGCATAAAAATAAGGCACTCACCCTAGAGGACCTATGAGTGGGTACCTGTGAGTGAGGCCCTCCTTACGTTTCACACCCTAGGCACCTTTCTGGCCTCGCCTCTGTCCAGCCCTTTCCCTAGTGTTGATGCTAAGATACCTGCTTCTGAAAAGAATGAGATACACGAGTACAGCAGGAGCTGTACATGGCAAGTTGCATTATGAAAATGTTTAATGCATAAAGAATGAGCCAGGTAGAAATCTAATTCCTAAAAATGAAAATTTGGGCTCATCTGCATTTGGTAAGTGCCTCCGTGCACCGTGTTTGGCATTAAATATACATCTTGCTTTTAAAGATACATAACTCTCCGCAGTTCTCCAGGTTAAATCTGAGCTGTGGCTTCTTAGATATTCTGCAATAAGCAGTATAGCAAATGACACATTCCCTAATTCCTCCCAAGTTGGAGGTTTAGATAAGCCTAAGAGGTGTATAAGTTATGCATTTCCTGCGGTGATTTAAAAAATAGCCTTTTTGCCTTTAAAAACATTGTGGACCTGAGTTATTCTGATATCTCCAATAACACCGATCAGCTTGTAGGCAGATTTCAGATGCTTGTAACTCTACTGAGAATTTATTGCTCATGCAATTAAAAAATACTACACATCCACCGATTTACCCCACAGATTTGTGATCTTGGAAAATATTCCTTTTCATCACCATCGGGTCCACGTGGAAAGCAAGAACAAAATGAGTTTTAAGAACACGGTACGGATAACAAAGCCAGGTTGGTGGCTGAAAGGCAGTACACGCGCAAGTGGTCTTTCTTCATCTAAATGCGGGGAGGCATTGTTGAGTAGAGTTCTCCTACCCCAGCCACTTTAACCAACTTCTGCTATAAAGGCACATTTGCCCACACTTTATAATCAGCAGGACAAAAAACACAAACACATCTCCAAATAATAAAACACTAAGTGAAGAGTGATCAGAAGGATGAATTTGTTTTTCAGATTCAAGGTTTGCTGGTGTTTAATGGTAATGAAACAATGCTCTTCCGCAATGTGTCACTGTCCTGGGTTTGGTCTCCGTAAAACCTACATTTGTGCCACAATACCATTAATAATAAAGAAATTTAAGTCAGCTAAAATTGGAGTATAAAAATAACCCAACTTTATTTATAAAAGGAGTATTACACTTTTTAAAAAATTCCCAGAATAGATATTTTGGACATACATTATGTCTTATACATTCTTAAAGATACTCCAGAAATTGTCATATGGACACTTAACAGAAGTTTATTTAACAAACAAAATAGAATTTCAACTACTATCCTCTGTATCTATTTATTTTTAATGGTGACTCTCATTTAAAAAGAAAAAAATCATTCTCTTAATGAAGGGATGTTCTCAACTAGGGGTCAGCAAATTTTTACTATAAAGGGCGAGATAAATATTTCAGGTAAATATTTTAAATTTGTGGGCCATAAGGAGTCTTTCCTACAATTCAGCTCTGCAGCTGTATTACAAATGTGCCCACAGACAGTCTATAATCAAACAGGCATGGCTGTTACCAATAAAACTTTCCTTATGGACACTGACATTTGAGTTGTATTCTCATGACTTATGAAATCTCCTGGTTTTTT